TTACGAGATTTATGAAGACAACTATAAAATTTGTCAGTTGAAAAGTTTAAGGAAGAATTCAGTTTGGGGACTTGGAAATGTAATATATTGGATATTGATTTAAAACAAAAGACGGAGGGCTAAGTGTTTGTCTGCCACCTTGGGCAAGCCACAGTTCTGTCCCCCACCCCCCAGTGAATTGCAAAATGCTATATGGAGGGCATCGGTAGAGAGAACAGGTAGCAAACTCAGACCCTCTCAGAAGCTTTCCTAAAGGAAGACTGCTGTGCATCTAAAGCCCTAACCATCTTTCTTTCAAATCCAGCTTCCTCCCCCAGGCACTGACCAGTGGCCTCCCAGGTTCCCTGAGTGGGGTGCCCCATCTGGATTCCTGGTCACTGTCCATCCGAGGACCTACCATCTGGATCCGTCTGCTCACATCACTTGGGTTAAGCTGCTTACTCTGTCCTCTCTTTGTGGGATTCTAAGCCTGCTTTCACAGACCGAGGTTCTGAAGCCATTTAAAAACCACAGACTGAGCTCAAGCCAGGAAAAAAAAGAGGGACAAGATTAAAGGGGAAGCTTGTTTGGGGTGCAGGAGAGAGGACCTTGAGCCCCTTAATCAGAAGGTGAGCTTCCTGAGGGTGGGGGCAGTAGCTCCTACCTTGTTCCTGTGTCCTTCGTGGGAATAAGGGCTTGTCGGTTCAAAGCCAAATAGGTCTGGGTGTAATCAATAAAGGTGAACAATGAACTCACTAGGACATCACGCAGACCAGGAGAAACACACCAGACATGGACACAGAGACGTGGCTTCAATGCCCCCTCAGCCACCAACCTGCTGCGTGGTCAACAATGTGTTTACTGTCTCCTGGAGCCTCAGTTTTCTTGTCTTTAAGAGTGGGATGAAGACACTTATTAAAAGGTTGTTGCGATGATTATGAATTAAATGGACTGCTTTGAGTCAATTCATATTTCATCAATTAGTGGGGTAATGTCTATGTATAGCATCTAACCCAAGGCCTGGCACAAACTTGGCGTTCAAAAACCACTGGTCCTTCCTCCTATTCCCCAAGTTACAGCTGGTGTATGGTATCCTTCCGTGGCTTTGGATGAGCTGGGCTTTCGAATCTACAAGTCTGCTTTGTACAACTTCAGAATGCCCAATGCCTGTGCAAATAACCAAATACTGGCTCTGTGGCCAAGTATTAAAACCAACATAGGTCACCTGCCCAGGCACTGACCACTTCAGACCCGGGAGGGAGAGCCGCGTCAGTGCTTCGGAGGTAACTCCCATCCTGCTCTCCTTACTGGTGGAGCCACTGATATTCCAAGGATAACACATCCCCAGTTGCATTTTTTTAAAAATTCCTGTTGGGGGCACCTGGTGGCTCAGTGGGTTAAACCTCTGCCTTCAGCTCAGGTCATGATCTCAGGGTCCTGGGATCAAGCCCCGTCTCAGTGCCTGCCTCTCTGCCTTGTGATCTCTCTCTGTGTTAAATAAATAAATAAAATATTTAAAAAAAATTCCTGTTGGACCGATAAAGTGACACATGGAGGAGAAGACTAAGACAGCAGGAGGGAGTGGCCTCTGTCCCCCCTCCCTCTCTCCGGCCCCCTCCATTTACATCCTAGACAGGCATCAGTCCCGATCCCCTGCCATCCCGGCAGGCTTCTGCAGGCTGGGGTGTGTGAAGATACGGGAGCCTGGAGGAGGGGATGTGGCACAGGCGGGGAAGGTGGCGGCCTGTGTGAGAAGGTGCGCCATGTGTCTGGGAGTCTGGTGCGAAGCGCAGGCGGCGACGCGCTTACGCTGAAGACTGGCTCCGGCGGCGCTGGGGAAAGCTTTGAGTCTTATGCCCTGAGAAGCGCATCTGTCAGCAAGCAGAACGGCCTCTCTCTTGGCTGGAGATGAGGTCCTCTTATTAGAAATAAAAACCCAGAGGTGACTTGCTGTCTCAAACTCAACAGTCCCGCCTCTGCTAAAAAGGTGGGCTTAGCAGGGTGGCAGCAAAGGCCAAGGGGTGGAGAAGAGATGGCATCACTTCAGGAGAAACGAGGGAGACAGCTGTTTGGGGAATAGTTGTCACGTCCCCACACCCAGGCTACAGACCTCAGCGCCCCAGGAGAGGGTGGCTAAGCACAGGTACTACCTCAGGGCCCGGGAATCAGTCTTGGGGCAGGGGATGGAGACACAAAACAGCTCCTAATAAAGATCCCCCGCTCTTCCATCAACCTGCAGCCCTGCGTCCTGAGCCTGCGTTGTCCTGTTAGAATGCTGCTGCATGGAGGAGGCCCAGCTTCTCCGCAACGGGCAGAAGAGCTTAGGAGTGTGAGTGCGATTAACCGAATGGAAGCGGAAAGCCTGGGGAACTGGGAGGTTTCTCTGCCTTGCTTCAGAGGGCGGGTGTCCGCTCCAAGTGCCCAGTGAGGACCCAGAGCCAGTGAGGACCCAGAGCCGTAGCACTGGGGTGGGGGAGAGCGGGGGTGGGGGAGAGATTAGGCTGCGTGGGGACATCACGCAGGGAGGGAGGAGTGTGCTGAGAGCAGATGCCTGGGGTAGCTCCAGATGGCAGTGGCCTCAGAACAAAAGGGGAAGAGCCAGAGGGAAGAAGGACCCAGAAACAGAGGACTGGCCCCTGCAGGCTTCTGAAATCAGATTCCCACCTGGAACCTGGCTGGAGGCGGGCCAAGCGAAGGTGACCCAGAATTTCCAAGAAGATTCGGAAGCGGCCACCCCGAACCCGACTGTGCGGGTCCCAGGGCAGGACTGCTGGGATTCACACTCATGGCCTGGCCCTTACGCAGATGTGCAGCTTTGGGCACCAGCCTTAATCGTGCTGCATCTGTGTCACCAGTAGCATGTGAGCAATTAACGGGCCCTAATTCACAGGTTTGTTGCGAGGATGACACAGAAGAGCGACGTCAGCACAGAGCACAGTGCCCGGTGCATACGGGGAGCACTCAGGATGTTGATTACTGTAAGGATGACGGTGATCGCCCTCGAAAGAAACCTGGATCAGCTCCCCTTCTCTCAGAACTTCCTGTTCCCTCAACAGCCATATGGGCCTGTTTGCATGTACTCTCTGCACTCTTCTTTTCTTTTTAAAGGGTTCTCTGTGCATCTGAAAGTCCCTGGACCTACTGACCCCTCAGGGTGTGCCGGTGCCTGAGGCTGGAGCCGGCAGTGTGGGGTCACGGCAAGAAAAACAGCGGTCATTGAGGGCACCTCACTTCTAGGATGGGCTCCGCCACTAAGGAATTTTGTGGACCTGGGAGAAATAACTTCTTGAGCCGCAGTGTATTCCTCAAATGGGATAAAGACCCCAGCCTTGCTCGCACCACAGAATGGTCATGAAGGTCAAATGATGTAATTAAATGGATGCACTATCAAAATTAAGCTCGGAACCCATATTAGCGATTGCTGGTTAGGTTGGAAGTGTTCGGAGGGGCAAGCCAGCACAAGTTTGCGCTGCTATCACCTGACAAGGTGGGGGTCTCGGGAGGCAACCTACAGTGCTGGTGTCCAGAGAGGGCAGTGAGGGGCTCCGGCGGGCACAGGGACAGACAGGAGGGAGGGTATCTGAAAAAGCGCCCAGAGAGGGGGCATGGCCACACAACACTGCCTACCTCCCGATTCCACCCCAGCTCCAGAGGTCTGTTCCCATGCTGTTTTTCAGAGCCCTATATGCCCATGAAAACAGCAGGAATACCACTTTTACAATCAGGGTCCTCCAAAAACAGCAGAACAAAAGAATGGTGCCTCCCACCCCCAAGGTCAGGTGGTATGTTCAAGTTCAGTATTTAGTAACAATGATTCAGTGAAAAGCCCTGTGGTCTGATGGATTTCCCGAGCAGTCCCTGAAAACCTGGCAGTGTTTTAAAGGCAAGTCATAGCCCTAAAAGGGTCCATAGAGAAACCACCTTGATAAGACAAGTACATCTGAGCTCTGTTGATAGGCTAGATAATAATAACTTTCCTTTACTAAACACCTGCTACATGTCAGGCACTGTGCAGCGCTCTTTGTACATTTCATCTTTGATCTTTACAAGATGTCCGTTATTATCCCCATTGCATAAACGAGGAAATTCAGGCCTACAGCAGTTAGAAACACTCCTAAAGTCACCAAGCAAGTAAAGCTGGATTTTGTCCAGATCCAAAATCCATGTCATCAGCAAGCTCTGCTCCCACCTTTCAACCCCCTCCCTGCAGCCCTGCCCACCCCACCCCGAGCCCCATCTCCCAACTCCTGGGAGAATGAAGACATTTGGAAAGGGGGCTGGAGAGAGAAAGACAAAATGCCATGAGGCAGAGGTGCCAAGAGTCAAGAATAAGGAAATCTTTCTCTGTTCAGGCCTCCAGGCCACTAGCTTGTGATCTGTCACCAGTGACTCCTCCGTGAAAACTGCAACCTTCACTTCACACATTTCCTCCCCTGCCTCCCCCCAGCCTGAGATTCAAACAGCAGCCGCGGGCAGGGCAATTCTAGTTGAGAATGGAACAATGCAACGTGCACACAGGGTCTGCTTCAGTGATGCGGCCTCGGGTTGCTCACTGGGCCATGGACAGCGGTCCATCTGCCGGGGCCCAATGCCCCGCCCAGAGGAGGGGTTCTCCAGACTGCCCCCCATATGCTGAGGCTGTCACTCAGGAGGCTCCCAGGTTGTGGAGGCCAGGCTATGTGGGGCGGGGCAGGGGGCTACGGATCACCAATCTGTTTCCCAATTTTTCAATTCCGGTGGACAGTTGGACAATGACAAGTCTAATGCCACTGACTGCATCGCTGGAGAAAAGGAGCGAAAGCTGCCCGGTGCCAGTCTCCTTGCAAAGCGGAGCCTGGAGGTCTGGCTCTGTGGCCAGCCAGCTCCCGGGAGAAGGAAGGAGATGTCCTTTTATGGGACTCGGGAAGCCAAAGAACCTTGGCTCATCAAAGAGAAGAGGAGAGGCAAGAATCTCCCCCCACCCCCGTCTCTGAGCCGCATGCACCGGGCCAAGCCCCCCTCACCCCACTCACCCCACTCACCGTCTCTGCCTCATTCAGCCTCCTTCTTGCGATACCAGAGGCGCTCTTCCAGCTTGCAGCGGGAAGGAAAGCTCCAGGGTCCCAAATTGCACATAAGTCAATCAACCTGTCACAAAGCAAGCACAAAGAGCCCCAGGGTCACTCTTGGAAAGGAAAAGAAAAGGCTTTGTGGTTTGCAGTCTGTTCATTCACTGGGAAATTACATCGTTGTCCACACCCATTTGGAAAGTTTTGCTTAGCATAATGACATCTTTGTTTAAAGAAATTCAAGGCACTGGGCAAGAGAGGAGAGCAATTCTGCAAGGTGCCTAATCATGCCAGACTTTGGTGGTCTCTCTCATCCATAAGATCATTATTAGTGCCCTGACATCATAAACTAACTGCTGATTCCCTGTTCACCTAAAGGAGTTAAGTCCTATCTTCGAGCATTTCTCCTATACCCATGGGGGAATTAACCCATAATTATCTCATTAATTGTCTTAACTTAGGAGAGAGATTGGGGTTTTCTTCCCCACCTACAGATAATCAAACTGAGTTCACCATAAATCCATCTACAACATTGAAAGGAGATCTAAATTTAGGGTCAGGGCACATGGATTTGAAGTTCTAATTTGTTACGTCATTTAGGGTGGATCACGTCCCTGCATGTGTCTCACAGTTTCTTTATCTGTAAAATGGGGAGAAGTTACTACTAGTTAGAACTTATAGGTTCAAGCCCAGTGCCAGTCAGTCCTTCTGGGCAACCATTTAACCTTTCTTGGTGCAGATAACATATCTCACTTAATCATTTGCTTTAACATTAAAATGTGTCTGCAGGAAATGGTAAAATCCACCTTTGTGAAAGGGAATGTGGCAACATGTATCAAAATACGCATGCACTCACTCTTTGACTGGCAATCCCAGTTCTAGGAATCTGTTTGAAATATATCCTATATGCCTATGTCGTGATCTCTACTGTTAAGTGGAAAAAACATGATAGAGAAAAGTGTGTTTAATGTGCTATTATTTATTTAAGAAAGGGAGAGAGACATGAAGATAAATATGTACCTGCTTATTTTTTTTTAAAAGACAATAAGAGGATAAAGCATAAAATATAATTTAAGGGGCACCTGTGTGGCACTGTCAGTTAAGCATCAGACTCTTGGTTTTGGCTCAGGGTCATGAGATCGAGCCCCACATCAGGCTCCATACTCAATGAGGAGTCTGCCTGAGACTCCCTTGCCCTCTGTCCTTCCACCTCACATGCGCTCTCTCTCACACACAAATAAATAAATCTTTTAAAAAATTTACAATTTAAAAGACCTACAGAGAGGGGGAGGAATGACGTGGATGGGATAGGAATAAAAGTTGGGTTTTAAATAGACCTTGTTGTGTGAATTTGCTTTGGATTATGTAAGTATCTGACAAAATTATAAAAGCACAATTAATATTTTTTAAAAGAAATGTCAAAAAATAAAATGCAACAAGTGAGTTCATGTGTCCAGTTGGCTGGCACTACACATAGAAAAATTAAAACACAGTAATTTGAATATCCTTGGAAGAATATACCTAAGAATGAAAGGAACTACCCCATTCCCTGAGCCCCTCCAACCCTAAACTGTTTTCAATAATCATATTATTGATGGTACTATTCTGTTCTTCTTATTGTTATTCTGGGACTTTTGTAATGTATTATGAGATAAGTCAAAGGAATAATACTACTAATGTTGCTGAAAAAAAGTTTCTTCTTGAAAGGTGATACAGATGCAAGATGGATGAGATCAGGTAAAAAGTCTGTAGCCCTGATTGTTAACTGGAGTCTCAGTATGAACTTCCTATGTTTTATCTTGCACACATTCTTGCATGCATGCACACACGTGCACACACAAAGCGTACTCCCTAGCCCTGTCCACTGTAAAACCAAGAAACAAGGATCATCCCAGGAGGACTGAGCACCCCTGGCAATCAGTTTAGGAACTCTAAAACCTAACCACCCCCCACAAAGGAACAGGATTCTTTGGGGAAATGTCTGAGGCAGCAGTTGTACAAGATAAGCCTAGAACACCTCATCAAACCAAAAGATCAAATGCAGCATCAAAGACATCTTCTAAGAGTCATGCCAAAAGGTCTCAAAAGCCATCCAGAATAAGGTTTCCTTGGTCAACCTGGACATCTACAGGGATCATAACTGCAATAGATTGAAACACAACAAATATGTTACAAACCCCTAAGAATATCTCTTAAAACTCCAAACAACCCATTTTGAGGATATTAGGGAAATACTTCATTATTTTGAAAACAGGTCAATAAAGCAAAAGAAGAAAAGGTGGGTGGGGGGATAGCTGAGACAGGACTGGTCTTGTACTGATGACTGTTGCAGACAACGATGGGCATGTCAGGTTCGTTACATAATTCTCTCCTTTGCAAAACATTTTCCAAATACAAATAAATTTTGAATGCTAGAACAGACTGAGAGACAAGAAATCATTAGAATGCTAATTCTTGAAACCCTTTCAAACCAGTTATTTAATCTTAACAGTAATCCAGTCTAATAATGAAGGATGCAGATATCATCATCCCCATTTTCACACTGGAGGAAACAGGTAGAATAAACCCATGTTCTTATCCCGAAGTATTCAAACCCACATGTTCTTATCCCCAAGACCCACTGTTCCACAGCTGCTTCTTTAATATCCCCATTTGTATATCTGGGTTAATAAAACTTTCCTTGCCTATATGAGGGCATTGGAGGGCTACAATGAGATAACGTGTGGGAAAGCACTTGGAAAACAAATCCTTGTACAAATATTTTACTGTCATTTGAAAACTGGGGATCATATCTGCCCTATCAGGTTGCCATATCAAATGAGAGCTGTGATTTAAAGAGAGATGAACAAATATAAAGACAGACAGAGAACCTTAAAGATGAGGAGGTTATAACTACCCCCAATGTTTTTATCATCATTGCTCACAGCACTTCAGTGTTAAGTGAGAAGGGAGACTTAGAATCCATGGTAAAGACTCTCCACCTGACCCAGGGGTAAGATGGTTTCAGGAAGGACACCTGGTGCTCTGGGGAGGAACCATGATCAAGCGATACCTGATATCCCACAGGCTGCAAGAAGAGTGGCTCTCGGTAACAGATGGATGGGGCCACTCCCAGGTTGCTGGGCATCCGAGGTACTACCTCCAACTTCTAGAGGCCAGACACCTGCTGGTACCTCTGAACGAGGCGTAAGTTACAGGGGGAACAGTGGGCAATGGAATGTGCTTCCCAGTAATAAGGGGCAGGCAGAGCATGTCATACTGATGACCAGAAGGAATGTTTGGGGTTGCTCATTGGCTCCCAAAATGCTATCTCTTGGCCTTCCTATCTCAGTGTCTGCGTGGGGAGTGTTTACAGATTTCTTCTCAGCAAATGCTTATTCTCAGATTGTCCTGCCTCTGGCCACAGAATAAAAGTGGGACTGGGGAATCTCCAACACTTTCTTGCCTTGGAATTCTATGAGTCCATAAGTGCATTTTCTGAAGACAGAAAAAATCAAAGTACTCCTGAGTCCTGGCTCATGTCCCTCCTCCCCCCAGATATTTAATCTGTGCAGTGGGAACGAAGACTTTTTAGTCTCTGTCTCTATTTCTTTCTGGAGGTTCTTACTTAAGCTAAGCATTTAAAATTTTTATTTTACTTTTTTTGGATAGGTAGTCCCTTCACATAATATGAAATTCAAAAGATGCAAAGGAGTGTATAACAAGAGTATATATTAAGAAGTTTATATGAATAATATGTATACGTATATATGAGTAAATTCCCCTCCCAATCCTGTACCCCCCTTCCCAGTTCCACTTAGCCCCTCTCCCTGGCCAGCCACTGTTAGCAGTGTGTTGTGTATCCTTTCAGAGGCTGGCTGTGTCTACATAGATACACATTTTTTGAAAACGACAACATACTATACATATTTTTCACCTACCTTGCTGTTCTTGGTTAACAAACATCTTAGATATCTTTCTATATTAGCTTATGTAAAGCTGCTTTTAGCAGCTGCATAGTATTTCATTGTATGAACATATCATATTTATGTGCTCAATCCTCTACTCGTAGACATGTAGGATGTTTGTAATCATTGGATGTGGAAAATTGCTCCAATACATATTCTTGGATATATATATAATCTCTCACGCTTGCAAGACTATTTATAGGATAAATTCTTGGATACAGAATTTCTGGGTCAAAGGGAATGTGGCCAAATTGCTCTCCATGAAGGCTGTGACAGTTTATACTCCCACCAGCCATATTTGAGTTTCTGATTCCCACTTCCCCAATACGCTGTATTAATAGTTTTGTTTTGGTTTGGTTTGGTTTGGGTTTTGTTTTGTTTTGTTTTGGTTTGGTTTGGTTTCTTTTTGGTCTTTGACAATCTAATTGCCTTTTGTGGTTCATCTATTATGAATGAATTTGAGTATTTCCTTTCTTTAAATTGTTCCTATTCTTTGTTCATTTCTCTATTAGTTGGCTTATTCTTATCAGTTTGAAGAAACTCGTTACTTACTAGGAAAATTACCTCTTTATCTATAAGAGGAGCTTAAAATTATCCACATCATTATTTTTATCCTGACTTTATTTGTGCACTAAATACATACATTAGAAAAGAAGAAAGTCTCAAATCAATAATATGAGGTCCCACTTCAAGAAAGTAAAGAGGATGAAATAAACTCAAAGCAAGCAGAAGGAAGAAAACAAGAAACAGCAGAAATAAATGAACTAGGAAGGAAAACCAATATAGAAAATCAATGAAATGAGCTGGTTCTTTTTTCTTTCTTTTTTTCCTAACATGAGCTAGTTCTTTGAAAAGATCAATAGAATCAACAAATCTCTAGCAAAACTGAAAAAGGAAAAAATTGCCAATATCAGGAATGAAAAAGGAGATGTCATTAAAGACCCTCCAGACATCAAAAGGATATAAGAAGACACTACAAACAACTCTATATACATATATTTAAAAACTTACTCAGAATGGACAAATTCCTCAAAAATGGAACAACTCCTAATATGAAATAGATAAT